TCAGGTAAGAACTCATATTATTTATTTTTTCCAATTTTACTTTCTGATTTTTATCAATAAATCCGTATCCAGGATATTGCTATCAAATAGAAAATCCAGAATATGCAGTGGCTTAGCTTTGCTCTGACAAAAGAGTGTTCTGATGCAGATACACTTTTAAAATACACCAAAAATAAAAGCAAAATGTTAGCAGTGATTCTGCAAGCATAATCAAAAATGATGCAGAATTTGCCTATGTCAAGGCACACAACAAAAAAACCTGTGGCTTATGATCAGTTTTCAGTCTTGTTTTTGTTGTAATAAATATAGCATTTTAGCATCTGAACATTCCAAGAGCCATGAACATTTATATGGTTTTTATTGGATGGCTTTTATAAAACCAATAGTCTGTCTATTTCTGTAAAAATTCTAAATATGTTCACTTTTCATCATGTACTTACTGAGTTTCAACATATTTTAGAAATAGCAGAAAGTACTTTTCAAATTTGTGCAAAGAATGGCATTTCTGTCAAAACTACAGATTCTACAAGGATATACATACAGACCGTCCTAGTAAAGTTTGAATATCTAAATCTTATTAATATGGGCATCAGTTCATAATAGCTGCTCCAAGAGCATTAGAAAAATATTATGTAAAGACTGTTATATTTTCAGGACTCGATCTTGACAGAAAGAGCACTTGGAATTAAATAACAAATTTTCACCAATACAAATTCACTCTTTATTCCTCTCAAGAGAAATATTTTCAGTAGGTGCTAATCCCCAGACTTATCCATCCAAAAAACAAATACTGCACCATAAATACTAAAAACCTTTTTACCAAAAAACTGTTAAAAGATTTGCTCAAATTAATTTAACTTCGCATACTCAGTCTTCTTTATTGCATACAATTGAGCTGCATAGCAGGCATCTGAAGTATGTATCTGTGGATTCTTCCATTTGGGGAATAAAACCAGCTTCACATGATTTATTAGATCAGTCAGAATGCCACTCTCTCTTAATATAGGGCATGAAATATTTAGAGAAAGTTTTCTTTGCAGTTTAGAAATACAAGGGCTGGTCTGACAGTAATGTCTCTCATTTTATTATGTTGGCCCAAGACATCAAGAGGAAGGTGGTGGTATAGCAGTAGAGGTTGAACCTTCCCGCCAGTATCCCATTACATTTTGTTGCCATGCAACAGTTGGCAGCAAAGGGGCAGTCAGACAAAATGGCATCTGTCAGGGAAGTACAGATGAAGCAAAGGTGTGTCACTGAATTCCTCCATGCAGAAAAAAAATTACACCTATTGACATTAATTGATGCTTACTATATATAGACAACAAACAAATAATGGTGGTGAGTATGCTGAAAAGTAGTGCTTTGTAGCAGAGAATCTGAGCTATCAAATACGTTATTGTGCTCTTTGTATCTTTGTCATTTCATGGAAATAAATAGGAAGCATTACTTTCAGAGCATATAATATTTAAAAGTTTTGTTTTATAATAAAAATGAGGACATTGTAATCTTTTCATACATCTTGAACAAGTGCAATTGTAGGTTAACTTCTCAGATAAATTATTCATGGTGAGTCACTCATTCAGCTCTACAGTGAACCTCATTTTTCTGTATAGCTTCAGTTTCCTGAGATTTAGTGCTTCTCCTTTCTCCTCTATTCATTCCTAATTTACACACCAGAAGGATGCATTAATCCAAAGAGGCAGTCATCCAAAAATGGGTATGGTCCATGTGTTCCTCAGAGAAAAATGTTTGAAAAATAGAGGATGTGCAAGTTTCTGCAACATCAGAGAAGCTTTTAATTCATTCATTATCAATTAATAAAGGTTTTCCTAAGCAATTTTCCCTCTCTGTATGACATACCTGTTATTTAAGAACTACTATGTCATGGATTGATTTTTCTGCCGGTAGCATGAAATGCATCTGAAAAGAAAATACAGTAGTTTAAAACACTGAACTAATCATCCAAAAAGTCATTGTCTAGACGCTAACTTGGTGTTAACAATTTCTACAAAACAAAATTTCATACTGTGTATCTCAGCAGTCAAATGACTACTGACATGAGAGTCAAGTGATTGACTTCTTTGAATTTATTTGTGCATGAAAAATGAAGCTACAGGGACAAGAGCTGTCTTTTGAAAATGTAGCCTATGAACATATTCATATTACTCACACCTATATTATTATGGAAGAACTATTGAATGTTCCTCAAGAGTTAAAGAATGAAAAAGTCTATTGTGTTCCCTGGATACTGGTATTGGAATGACTGTCTTTTCTGACCAACATTCTAAACACTGTGTTGGCTGAGAAATTTAAATCCAGGCATAATTAATTTCCCCTTTTCCCCTGGCTTATCCTATCTGACAAAGCACTTTTACACTCCTTATTGAGTTTCTGTTACAAAGTGCCTTGGGATACTTCTACATGAAAGGCACTACATAAGCTTGCATGCTCATATTGTGTTATTATTAGTTTTGTAACACTGATTGGTTCTAGAGCATTTGTTAGTCTTTTCTTATTCTTCAAGTTGTTTCACAAAAGTAGAGAATGAAACAAATATAAAGTAAAGCAGAGTTGCAATCACCAATTAAATACACTAATGCATGAAAATGTTTCTTATCTAAATTTCAAGGGATACACTCTTGCTTGAATTCAAAATGGAATTCAATACTAAAAAAAATTATAAGAATTGATTTTAGGAAAACAAAAACTTCACCAAGAAATCTGGCTAATGGTTTTGCTATTATCCATCTTTTCCTGAGAAATATGACCATCATTCTGCTAAAAAATTAAACCCTGAGACAAACAACACTTTCAGTGCCCAGGTGTATTGTTGTTGTAGTAGCTGTTGTTCTGCTGAGTAAAACAATTAAATTTCTCTTGCACTGCACTGAGTTTCTATAATATAGTACCTTTCTTCCACCTGTTGACCACCTATATACAACATTATTTCTATTTAAATGACAAACTTGCTCTGATGTCATGTAATAATATGCCTTGAAAATTTTCAAATTTTAAAATCATAGGATTTTCTTCAAATATAATAGGGCCCCCAGCACAAGAAAGACACAGAGTTCTTGGAACTGGTCAAGAGGAAGGCCACTAAGATGATCAGAGGGCTGGAGCACCTCTCCTATGAAGAAAGGTTGAGGGAAATAGGCTTGTTTATCTTGGAGAAGAGAAGGTTCCAGAGAAACTTCATTTTGACCTTCCAATACTTGAAGGGAGTGTATAAACAGGAGGGGGAATAACTGTTTACATGGGTGGATAGTGATAGGACAATGAGAAGTTTTTTGAAACTAAGACAGGGGAGATTTAGGTTATACATCAGGAGGACATTTTTCACTCATAGGATGGTGACACACTGGAACAGGCTGCCCAAGGATGTTGTGGATGTCCCATCCCTGGAAGCATTCAAGGCCAGCCTGGATGTAACTCTGTGTGGTCTGGTCTAATGGTTGGTTGGCAACCCTGCACATAACAGGGAAGTTGAAACTAGATGATCATCGTGGTCCTTTTCAACCCAGGCCATTCTATGATTCTATGTTGTCAGTAGTTCAGATTTATAAGACTTTTTTTCCTGTATTTATTGTATAGATTATACTGCTGAAGTGCAGTATGCTAAACTAATACAACATTAATAACACTTCAATATAGAATTGTTTCTCCTGTCAGCCTTAATTATTTACTTACAAACTACATGGTTTGTACTTCTACACACAGGAATGAAGTGCTTTGGTCATTCCATTGGTAGCTTAACAACACACAAGAGATCAGTTTCTGTCACAATCTAAACTTCACAAAACAGAGCAAAATATAATGCATAATAGAAATGAGTTCTGAAGTCAGGAGTTTTCTGTCTCATACGTTCAAGTTTGAATCTGACATTTTTCAGTCATGACATCTCTGTTGTTGAACCCATCAACAAGAAGCAGAAAGAAAAGGTCTTCTCTTAGATTATTTAGTCACAGACAAATGAAAGGACCAGGATCTTCAGCTGTGCTAAGGATTAGAGTGGAAACCAAGGGGAAGTGAGGAATATTGGTATGATGTATTCTCATTATTGTGTTCTATTTAACAGATGGGATACAGTATGATGAACCATCTGTAGGTTATGGAGTAGCATCTGGGTCAGACCAAGGATGAGCAAATTGGATTGATCAAAGCATAGGATTATAAAAGCATAGATCAGTTTGGCCAGATCCATATCTGAATAGAAAGGGTTTGGTTTCTAGGTTATATACAGGTGAGAACAAGTCTTTCTGACTTCTGTCACTAATGTTTAAAGAAGACTCTACCACACACTTGTGCTTCAAGTCATGGAGAACATACATGCTCTCTGATCACTGTAGCTACACTTCCAGTTACGCTTCCCCTTACTATCAACAGTGTTAGAACATTTCTTCAAAAGGACTATTTCTTTAAGAAAGGTTAATTTTTGTTCGGAGCCCTTGTTTCACATGTGAGACATTGTAGATATTCAGATAAGTGATATTCAGATTCAATGTGAATAAAAGTACCAGAAAGGTGACAGAGCAGAGCTGCCTCAGATGTCTGTTAAAAGAAACAACTAGACACTTCACACTTTGCTGCTGTCTTTTGACTGGGAGCATGAAAAGCAAGGAAAGCAACCTTGCAATCAACAACGCTGAAGTACTTCAAAAGGTTTCTGTTGCTAACTTGTATTCGTCAACTTTAACCAAAATATTTAAGTATGTCAGTATAAATAAAAGTATTGACATGTAAGGAAAATCATTTTACCAGGAAATGTACTTATTATTTATTTTGCAATTTGGAATGTTTCGCTGTTTTTGTCTAAGTACGGGTAGATGATGTGTATCATATTATATCTGAAATTTAATTTCAGACAGCAATGACATGAAGGTAGATAGT